ACTACATCTGCTCAAACCTGTCTAGGAGCTTTCATTCGGCCAGTTGGGGCTCTTGACCTTTTCATCAAGCCATTCTGCATCTAGCCTGTGTTCCAGCTATGCAGCTTGATTCAAATGACATGTCACCTGCTATCCAGCCTGACATTACTGGTCTGTCTACTGTCCAGTTTGGCTCCATAGATTCTCTGCTTGCTGATCCCCTGACCATTGCCCAGCCTGATGGTTTGGTGCCTGATGTCTGGCATGCCACTGAGTGTCTGGGGGCATCTTCTCAGAGTGGGAAAAGTCAGGAGCATCTTCTGCTCACAGCTGCTGGACTCATTCCAGAATCCTGGTTTTCGCTGTGACACATTCTCCTTGTCTGTCTGTCCACCTGCAAGGTGGTTGATTTGGCCAGTCTGAGTGGAGACCAAACCTGATTTAGGCCTGCAGTCTCATGCTTGTGATAGTATTTGTAACATGTGCTCAAGCTCCTGGTTTGTCTGCCCTACTGCTTGGGTTTCCCTGTGTATGACCTTGGATCAGATATTGACTATTGTCTAAACTCTGGCTGCCTTTAGACTACAGAGTTGAACCTGACTATCGTGAACTTTGCCTGCCATGTACCTGGACTGTCATTGAACTGTCTGCCAACTGCAAGTACCTGTTTGCTGTGCTCAGTTTGTGCCTGCCCTGGCTTGGTAGCCAGGCACTATAGCATTGTGTATGAGTCCTGGGGCCAACCAAGTACTGGTAGGCCTGCTTGCCTTATGGGAAAGTGGGCTGCTACAGATGAACACAGATGCCAGTTATAGTGCCTGACCACCTGCGTTAGGGGTAAGCGTGACACTGAGATTTTCAGTATGAATCTCAATGAACTCCTAGGGGAAAGCATAAGTAAACGCCCATTTGTACTGTGAAAAGCCATACAGGTTATTTGTAAAAAATCAGCCACATCATGAGTAGAAAAGCCTGCACCCTGCCAGAATGCTTCAAGGGAGCTCTCTCTATGTGGAAGTAGCATTCTCTCTGCAGATGTCTGACTTGAAGGGTCAGAGCTAGAACTCTACAATCATAAGGGGGCATGATCTCCATTGATTGCAGTGCTATAGCTCAGACCATCAGGGGTGTTTCAGGCCTCTGTAGTGAGATCATTGCTTCCACACAGAGAAAGGGCCCCACTTTGCAGCTACTGGCAGGCTGTGGTGGATTTTCAAACTGCAATGAAATAATAAATGGGACCAGATAGTAGAAGTCCATTGTTAAGATTTACATATCCTTTACCCCAATGAAGGGTTCCATACCTCAGCAGCAGTGGGAGGTTTTACACAAACTCCCGCCACCATGTATTTTGTGCCAACTATACAGTCAAAGGTCAGGTCCCCCCAAAAGTGATATTTCAGTTGTAAGTGGAGTCTGCTGGGCATAGTTGCCCACTGGCTTCTTATGTTTCCCACAGTGTCATTCTCTTTACTGTTTATTTCAAGTACTTGTATAGCGCCGTCAGTTTATGCAGTGCTTTACATATATATTGTACATTCACATCAGTCCCTAACCCTCAAGGGGTGTACAATCTAAGGTCCTTAACTTGCATACTAGGGCCAATTTAGACAGGATCCAATTAACCTACCAGTAGGTCTTTGGAGTGTGGGAGTGTAACATAAATGTAAGATTCGAGTAGCTGAGATGTGATCTGTAGAAATGTCATTATCTATCTAGCTTAGTTCCATGTTAAAGGTGAGTGTTCAGAATTCAGTCAGACATATGTTCACCAATTAGCATCTGAAAGGACAGAGCAGCTTCTAGGCTGGAGGTGACACCTAGGTGCCAATAAAACATTGTCACCTATGTAGTCAGTTTGCCACCTTCTAGAAATCTAAAGAGGAGCTCTAGCCATTTCTGCTTTGAGAAGCAGCAGGAGACCAGGAGAGGGCTCCGATCTGTCTGGGAGCTATAACTTGTATACCCAGATCAAAGGAAAATATTTCATCTCATGAAAGCTAAAATATTAGTTGCAGAGCTGAAATCCTTCCTTCTGATTGGACACATTGTAAGCTACATCTGCATGTAAAACTATTTGTAGCCTATGTAGAATCCGAGAAACGCAGAAAACTGTTATATGGTGCCTGATTACGACAGCTGAACAGCAATTGGTACTGTCGCAATCGGACTGATGCTCTGGTGTTGGAAAGTCTATCCCTGACTTGGTGATTCAAACCTTTCCTGGTCCAATCTACTTTGGGCACTTCAGTACCCAAAACGTCCTGTGGGCTGGTACAGGAACACCCCCCAGGGTTGATTGGCCAAAGGCTAATGTCCAGCCTACATCCATATCTCAAATTGAGGACCCTGAGATATGGACGGTGTGATTCGTACGGAGCCAATTCTATTTGACTAGCGAATTGCAGACTTTCTCTGATTTGCTCCAGTCCCAGGATAACTCTTGGTATGGTTTTTTTTTTTTTTTTTTTGTTCCAGCCCCCCCCCCCCCCCCCCCCCCCCCCCCCCCCCTTAGTCAATAGCCAATTGTGTGTCTTTTTTATTTCCTGTAACTTTTTATACTTTGTACATATGCACTGGCCACTTTTGGGATATTAAATCATAAACTTAAGTGACTTCTGGGTACTTAGGCTCAGGCTCATATCTCTGGAGAGATTGTATTGCAGTGTCTTTATATGCTCTGTCAAGTTCATTACAATCTGCCAACACGCAGCGCAATTGCATACAGATAGGAAAAGTAGTAGATCTGCCAGACTGAGATCTGTGTGTGTGTGTGTGTGTGTGTGTGTGTGTGTGTGTGTGTGGCCCAGCAGACCAGTCTGCGGACAAAACTGTTGGGTGGTGGTAAGCTACCGTTTTGTTGTGTCTGGTGTGGGGGGGGGTGTGGACAGTCGAAGAGTGATTAACACTGGGGTTCTAGCTTTTAGGATAGCTGGAGGAATCCTAGAAGGGTGTGCCAATTGCTAGACTGCTCCCCAACCCTTTAGCGTGCACCAGATTGTATATAAGATTCATATCTGCCTGTATGTGGTCAGCCAGCTGGATTGAAGTGGAGTCTCCCTCTATTGGTGGCCAGAGGTAGCGTGGGCTGTGAAAGTGTATCACGGTCGGTCTTTTATATATGCTTAAAGTAAGTCTCCCCCTTATTCCCTCTTTACCCCAAGTCACGGCCGGACGTGCACGCCTCGGTTAGTCGCTGTGGGCATGTGTGGGTGGGATCTGTGACAGATTGGTGGCAGCGTGCAGGATCTGATTAGTACATTAGTGCATGGTTTATTTATTTAACTCGTACTAAAGGTTGGAGGCTTGGTAGAAGTGACTGACCTACAGAAGCTCACTCAGTGTATAATTTTTTGTTTTGTAGAAGACATACTTGGCTATTTGCTCCCCACCCCTATTTTTCTTTTCTACAGGAACAGCAGCCTTCCCTGCCACCAGATGTGGATTGTGGTGACATCTGGGAGGGCCAACTGGAAGCCCATTCATTGTCCCTGCAGGCTGATCTACAGCTGCTAGGCCCAGTCAATGAAATTACACTTCCAGTTCATTACACAGCGCCAGGAAGCAGAGGACAGATGAAAAGACCTGGAAGCAGAACAGCAGCATGAACTGGAACTAGCAAAACTCCAGCTGCAGCAGAACAGGTCTGCTGGTAACAGAGTCCAGGGAAGAACGAATACATAATTTCCCTGGACAAGTTCCCCACCATGGACCTAGATGGTGATTATGGACACTCTTACAAGGATTTGAGAGGACTTGTCAGTACCTCCTGCCCAAGGAGCAATGGGCACAGTACCTCATACCAGGGCTTAAAGGCAAGGCCCTGGATGTGCTTGTGAGTTCCAGAGGGCCAAGAAAGGGACTGAGGCTCTTAAACAGGCCATTGTTAAATGATACCAACTCACGCCAGAGGTGTACCACAAGAGTTTCAGGACATTGCATCAAGGTCCTAATGACAGTTACATGGACCTTGTTTGCAGTCTGCGCACTGCTTTCAGGCAGTGGCTAAATGGACTCCATAAGCACCTTTGACACCCTACAGAAACTAATGATTAAGGACCAGTTCCTACAGACATGTCCTTTTTAAGGTCCGGAAGTTTGTACTGGACCGAGATCCCAAAACAGTGGATCAAGCAGCAGAAATGGCTGACTTTTTCTATGCAGAATAACTGTCACCAGGAGGACTACTGCACCCACCTGGAAAGGAGAAGCGACTGGACTCTTCTCAGGACATCCAGAGGACCAAGGCACCCAGACCTTCAGGACCCATCCCAACAACTGGGGATACCAGGAGATGTTTGCCACCAAATAAGTCATCTTGGTGTATCCTGCCCTGAGAAAGGCTGCCCCACCACCTACCAAGACAACCTGCCCAGAGTCTACTGTTTTTTGTGTGCTTCCAGGAATGCCAGAGGGCTCTCCAAAAATCTGCAGCCTCACTGTGGGTGACAAGTTTACTACCGGCCTAAGGGACAGTGGATCAGAGGTGACCTTAATGCACCCAGAACTGGTGAGCCCTGAGGATCTTCTTCCTGGTAAGACCATGACTGTAAAGGGTGTTGGAGGCATCAACCCAGCTGTCCCCATGGCCTGTGTTTATCTAGACTGGGGAGCTGGGAGAGGAATGAGAGAAGTGGGTGTAACAGATGCCATTCCCACGAATGTATTATCAGATACTGACCTGGGGCGGTTGGTAGCCCATTATGAGCCATATCCAGCCCCCCTAGAACCTACATCGCCACTTGAGGCCCTGGACTCATGTAAAATACTGTTTGAAGACTCCAACACTGGGGATTCTGGGGAGAATCAGGGGGTGAATGACTGTGTACCAGGGCCTGGCTTTCTGGAGTCAAGGCCTGGAGAAGAGCTTAGTCACAGATGACTCTGCAACTGACAATGTGTTATGTGAAGTAAAATGTAATTACATGTGCAAGGCAGACCTTCCCTCTGCTGCAGTGGTGACTCGTGGTGCTCACCAGTTGGCCCCGGATCAGTCATTGCCTACTGCTACAGAGGAATTGTCTGTGGAAGGGCCCAATCTAGCTAGGTTGGACCCTTGGGAACCAGGCCCAGAGGGCCTAAGGTCTCCTCAGTCTGTTGTTCACCTGGCACCTGTGGCAGATGGCTCTGAGTCCCCTGAGGCTGTAAAAATTGATGGCAGCCCAGAGGATCTCAAGGGTCTGGCTGAAGGACCACCAGTGGTGAATGGCAGGATGAGGTTGTATGGGCAAAAAGAAACAGAATATTCTTCTGAAGTTCCTGGTGAAAAGGCACATTGTGTTTTAGTAAGTCTTGGTAAAGACCAGTGTTGAGTGCCTCTATCCCCTTGTGGGAATAAGGTTTTTTTTTTTTTTTTTTTTTTTTTCTTTTGTTTGCTCCCCTGTCACCACAGATACCAGTAATGCCATTTTGGATCTTGGGCTGTGGCGCACAGAGGAGGGACCACAGGGTGAGGGTTTAAATCTGACTCTACTCACTCAGTAGCTGTGGCTGACGGCACTGAGTTTCCAGAGGCTGATACATTTGATGCCAGCCCAGAGGAACTCGGATGTGCCGACAGACGCTCTGCTGAGGATGGAGTAAAACTGTGTGACGTGGGTCAGAGGAAAACCCCTAGTGAAATACTTTCTGTCACCACAGTGCTGCCAGTGCAGACTCAGCTCTGTGTGTTGCAGAGAGAAGTCTACAGGATTTTGGGGCAAATTCAGCCCAGTTAGTGTCTTCCACCTCAGCAGCTGACATCACTGAGTACTTCTGGGCTGATAAGTTTAATATTGTCCCAGAGGAGCTCAGGTGTGGTGCTGACAGATGTTCTGCGGAGGACAGAGTAGAAGGGTGTGGCACGGGTCAGAGGATGACCCCTGGTGGAATAGTCTTCTGTGGATTTATCCTTTGTCCCCATAGCTAGGAGTATCATGATTGAGGATTCATTGCTGTGCACAGCAGAGGAGGGACCCCAGGATGATGGGGGAACCCTGACCCCTCTGAATCTGCTGTCTCAGAGACTGTATCGGACAACACTGCATTCTTGCAGGCTGATAGGTTTGATGTCAGCCCAGAGGAACTCAGGGGTTGTGTTGACCTGCTCTTTCTCCTTCAGCCAGAGACTGAAGTGTGGGAGACAGGTCAGAGGGTGGAGGCTCTGGTATCCAGGCCATGGAACCAGGTCCAGATCACCCAGGAACGACTTTATGCCAGGCTCAAACATCTGGGTGTTGCAGCTAATAGAGAACCAGCAGATGACCATGGCCAGTGGCTGAAGATGACCGCACACAGACAGGTTTGCTTGTACCCTTTAAGTAGGTAGTCGTTGGCCAGTGGATGAAGTGGATGAAGCCAGCAGGGCGATCTGCTGGCCAGTTGTGATCCAGACCCTTTAGGATCATTCCGAGAGCTGTACAGTAGCCCTCTATCTGCAGGGGGACAGGCTGAAATGTCAGCGGTGCCAAGCTTTAGTTTACCTTCCTGGCAGACGTGTTAGCCGACCCGTTTAGGCTCAGCTATGCATCATCTAGAAGGGAGAGATGTAACATAAATGTAAGATTCGAGTAGCTGAGATGTGATCTGTAGAAATGTCATTGTATATCTAGCTTAGTTCCATGTTATTAAAGATAAGTGTTCAGAATTCAGAGACATATGTTCAATTGGCATCTGAAAGGACAGAGCAGCTTCTAGGCTGGAGGTGATGCCTAGATGCCAATAAAACATTGTCACCTATGTAGTCAGTTTGCCACCTTCTAGAAATCAAAAGAGGAGCTCTAGCCATTTCAGCTTCGATAAGCAGCAGGAGACTAGGAGAGGGCTCCGATCTGTCTGGGAGCTATAACTTGTATACCCAGATCAAAGGAAAATATTTCATCTCTCATGAAAGCTAAAATATTAGTTGCAGAGAGATGAAATCCTTCTTTCTGATTGGACACACTGTAGGCTACATCTGCATGTAAAACTATTTGTAGCCTATGTAGAATCCCAGAGAAATGCAGAAAACGGTTATATGGTGCCTGATTGCGACAGCTGAACAGCGATTCTACAGCAATAAAGGGGTGTGTGTGTGTGTGTGTGTGTGTGTGTGTGGTGGCCCAGCAGACCAGTCTGCAGACAAACTGTTGGGTGGTGGCAAGCTGCCATTTGTCTGATGTGGGGGTGTGTGGACAGTGGAAGAGTGATTAACACTGGGGTTCTAGCTTGTAGGATAGCTGGAGGAATCCTAGAAGGGTGTGCCAATTGCTAGACTGCTCCCCAACCCTTAGCGTGCACCAGATTGTATATAAGATTTGTATCTGCCTGTGTGTGGTTAGCCAGCTGGATTGGAGTGAAGTCTAACTCTAGTGGTGGCCAGAGGTAGCACGGGCTGTGAAAGTGTATCACAGCTGGTCTTATATATATGCTCAAAGTAAGTCCCCCTTATTCCCTCTTTACCCCAAGTCGGGGCCGGTCGTGCACGCCTCGGTTAGCTAGTTGTTGTGGGTGGGATCTGTGACAGGGAAGAAACCCACGCAGGCACAGGGAGAACATGCAAACTCCAGGCAGGTGGTGCCATGGTTTGGAATTGAACCAATGACCCTAGTACTGCCAGCCAGAAGTGCTAACCATTTAGCCACTGTGCTTCCCTTACTATAGCTTCCTGTTCTGTTGCTCACAATGAGGTATTCCTGTTCAAGCACCATCCAATTAACTGAATCCCACATCCACATCCAGGAGAGTAAACGTTTCCTTGTAATGACTGGAGGCATACAGTGTGTACTTGTGTCTATCCAGAGCACTAAGTTTCATTTCTGTCTGCTGCTTCATACCTCTCAGCATGAATCACTTCTGACAAGTTTTCCTGACACCAAGAGAAAAAAGACAAGGGAGGGCACAGCCTCAGCTCTGTTCCTGTGTTGTGTGAAGGGGGTGTGTCCCTTCCCTCCAATCAGCTCTCAGAGCTCTCCTCACTAAGTGTAACATCAGCTCTCTGCCCTCTGCTTTTCATGGCTGAGAGATCCCGTGTAAATTCTTTACTTTGAATGGATGTAGGGGAAAGACAGCTGTAGATAAACAGGTACAGCTTATGTAGGAGGATTCGCTTCATCTGCGTATCACCTGAGGCCAGTCTCTTCACTGGGTATAGCAGAGGGTTTACACCACTGCTGAAGACTAGTTTTGATTGTTATTACAGTTACAGTGGTCCATCTTGGACCTTTTGAAATCAATCGGTGATTAAACACACTAGGAAACGAAATCCATGGGGATTTGATAAACCTTTCAAGAAGCACAATTAGGTTTTTAACCAGTTGTGGACCTATGGTAGATGAGGTACACTTTAATTAAAAAAAAAAAAAAAAAAAAAAACTCAGTACCTGCATGCTCTCCACCATGCTGGTTTGGCTGCATTCACACTTGAGCGTTTTGTAGCTTGAAGCTCCAAAAAAGCTCAAACTTAAAAAAAAAAAAAAAAAAAAAAAAAAAAATCGTTCTCTATGGTACCTGGTGATTCAAACCGGCACCATATAAAAAAAAAAAAAAAAAAAAAAAATTTTCTCTTTTGAGCATTTTTGGAGCTTCGACCCTCAAGTGTGAATGCAGCCTAATTCTTTGAAGCAGCCTCACAAATGGAGAAAAATGTTCCAATTTTACAACTTTTTTAATCCTTCCTATGTAAATACTTACTTTGTTAGCATTTTGTATTTTTTTTTATGTAATCCAAAGTGTTTCCATTTTAATTAAAAATGGTTTCACAGTTCTTTGTATGAGCAATGTAATTTTAAGGTTTTTTGACATTTTTAGAAAATACAATGCACAACAATTCCATACTGTGGTGGTACTGTACTTATCACACTTATTAAGTTTAATGGAAAATGAAGAAAATAAACAGATTCATTCAATGACTAAAAGTGGTTGCAAACCTCAGACATGAAATAGTGTGTACCTGTCTTGATTAAGAGCACTATAGAGGGAGATTTAAAACTGGAGCACTCAGCATGAGGTGCAGCTGTACATGGTAGCCAATCAGCTTCTACCTTCAGCTTGTTCAGTAAAGTTTTGACAATGAAACCTGGAAGCTGATTGGTTTCTATTAAGAGTTTCACCAGATTTTGCCCCATGCAATTTTAGTCAATAACCCCCTGAGCATCATTTCTGTCTGCTGCACTTGTTTAACTATCATTCTTAACCATTAGCCGCCCGGCCAATGGCCGTTTAGCGGCTTCAAATGTGCTCCTGTATTCCGGGTGCACGCCATTTGGCGTGCTCCCGTACATGCGCAGTTTGCGCTAATGCAGAGCGGCGCAGCAGCGCGATCTGTCACCGGCCGCGTACCTCGGACATGGCCGATGACAGATCTGAGTACCGGCCCCCGTTGCAGGTACCATGTGACCTGCTGTGACCAATCACAACAGGTCACATGACAGTTGTATACAATGGATGGCTTCATTCATGCCATCCATTGTATACTAGTGCCTAGCTGTGAATGGTCACAGCTAATCACATGCACATGTCATGTGATTAGCTGTGACCAAATCACAGCTAAGCACAAAAAAAAGCTGACTGAATCTATTTCATTCAGGTAAATGCTTGCTTATTTGCAAAGTAATTCTTTGCTATAAGCAAATTGTGTAAAAAAAAAAAAAAAAAAAAAAAAAAAAAAAAAAAACACTGATCACTTCCCCAAAGTAGTACAATGTTACTATGGTAACATTGTACTACTTTGGTCATAGTAAAATATGAAAAAAAATCTTAAATAAAAAAAAGTAATAAAAAAATTAAATAATAAAATAAAAAAAATTTTTAAAGTGTTTTTTTTTTTTTTCATACTGTCACCAGTCAGTGTCCCTGTTCACCGCCATGCCAGTTATATGACGCTGTACTGCACAGGTGACAGTATGTAAAGAAAAAAAAAAAAAAATAGTAAAAATAATTTTTTTTCATTTTCTGAAAAATTGACAAATACAACTTCAAAAATCTCGCCATGCCTCTTATGAAGTACGTCGGACTGTCTACTCTGCAAAAAAGGGGTCATTTGGGGATATCTGTACTATTCTGACATTCTTGGACCTCAAGAAATTAGATTGGCTGTCAGTACTTCAGGATTGATCAATATTCAGATCTATACCATAGTTTGTGAACTCTATAACTTTCCTACAAACTAAATAATACATCCTAATTTGGTTTATTTTCACCAAAGACATGTAGCAGAATACATCTCGGCCTAAATTTATGAAGAACAATTATTTATTTGTAAACTTTTATAACAGAAACAAAGAAAAAACGTGTTTTTCAAAATTTTTGGTCTTTTTTTAGTTAATTTAGCAAAAAATAAAAACCCCAGCGGTGATTAAATACCACCAAAAGAAAGCTCTAGTCGTGTGAAGAAAATGATAAAATTTTAGTTTGGGTACAATGTTGTATGACCGCGCAATTGTCATTCAAAGTGTGAGCGCGCTGAAACATGAAAAATGGCCTGGGCAGGAAGGTGTAAAATTGCCCGGTATTGAAATGGTTAAATTGGCCCACAATTGTTTTTTTAGCCCTAGCTCATATGCATGTGGCTTTTCATGTAATGCAGGATTGTGTACTTTTGGTTTTTAAGATGAGCAAGGACAAGTTGTGTGTGGGTGTGGTTTTTTTTTTTTTTTTTTTTTTTTAATAAAAAGTTGCTGCTTTTTCAGGCTGCACGTTACATGCAGTGTCCTCCCCACCCCCATTGTGAGACACTAGTGTAGTACAGTTCACATCCTATGTGAATTCAGAATGCATCTAAGATGACCAGATAATGAATCCTACATAGAAAATTTATTTTGGGGGCGGTGATTTGCTTCTAGGCGGATGCATACATGAGATTTTTACCTTGTCACACAATGTTACTGACAGAGGAATGATAATCTGCTGGATCAGGTCAGCTGTGATGGATGGTGACAATATCTGTGTGAGTCACTCAATGTTCAGAAACTGACGATAAGAACATATCAATCAAGGGTGTTAAATGTCAGATGTTGTGAATTGACTTGACAATTAAAAACTTATAAAATTACATGCATGTGGAATATTCAACTGATC